TTCTTCAAAGTTTTGAGTGCCACTCGTTCGTTCCCCAGAGGGCTGGGGTGGGTAGGACTAGGATTGTTTAATTTTGTGACGGGTTTCGTTTAGGGTTATGCATTTATGAGGTTTGTGGTGTTGGACATTATTGGAGGAGGGATTTCTAGAAGGGGTTTATTTTTGTTGATGGTGTTGTTTTGGCGTTTCTTTGGATCTTGATTGTGATGGGTTTTTTTCGTTAAGGTTGTTGGGGTTGGTAGTTGAAAAGTGTGAAAAGGTATGCATTTAGGTGGGTTTGAAGGATGTTGGAATTTTTGGAGGGGGGATTTTAGAGGATATTTGTTGAGGTGTTTTTTGGCGTTTTGGATCTAATTTGTGAGTGTTTTTAGTCGAGGGGGGAGGGGAGTTGGGAGATATCTAGGGGGTGTCTTTTCGGGAACTGACGCGCGGGTTGGGGGAGTGAAGAATGTGTTGTGAGGGTTGAATGAAGTAGTGAGATGGATTGTTACGAACTGCGTAACAGGTTCTCGGGATGTTTGAAGATATATTGGGGAGGGGAGGGATGTTGTTCTGAGTAGGAAGGTGTGTTAGTTTTTGCCCCGGGAAGAGGTGAAAGATAAGGCGGATGATGCGTTTTCAAGTTTAAGTTCTTATACTAAGGAGTGGGGATAGTTGACTAGGTGGAGGAGGGTATGTAATGATGTCTGATATGGGGTTGTATATATAGAAGGCGTTTTTTTGTTGACAGAGAGGGATGGGTGGATAAGTTGATTTTGGTTGCCGTTGGAAATGGTGGTGTTGAGATGGGGAGTCCAGGTTAATTTGGAGTGAAGGTGATGCCGAGGTTATTTTATTTTGTGAGGACATTGGGATAGGAGTATTATGATGGTGATGGGTGGGAAGGGGTGTGGATTTTCGCCAAGTGATCATAGCCTGGCATTTGGAAGCTGAATTATGATGGAGTTTCTTGAACCATTGCGAGATATGTGTGAGCAGCGAATTGAAGGTTGTTGATGGAGTTTGAGAAACACGTGGGGAGAGAGAAGGCTAGGTCGTCTGCCTAGAGAAGATGTTTGAATGCCGTGGCAGAGGAAGGTCATTTAGGTCATTGAAAAGAGGTGGGGAAGGAAAAGCAACCTTGTGGAACTGCCGCGAGAGGGGTGGGAGGGGGAAAAGATGGAGAGATAGCTTGGTTTTGAAGTTCTATGTGTTAAGTATTTGATAGGAGATTTAAGTGAAGGTGGGGAAGGCATTCTTAGTTTGCCACAGGAGAAATTTGTGTTGATTGTAGTCGAAGGCAAAGGATTAGGCCAGTTGGAAAGGGCAGGATTTGGCGGGATTTAGGGACGAAGATCTGTGGCGATGCTGAGGCAAGGTGAAATGTTTGGAGAGCCGATGATCGGTCGGGCGGAAGGAATGTGAGGGTTGGATGTGGGGTTGAAGGTAGGGATTCATGAATTTTAGGAGGATTTTCTCGAACAGTTTTCCGGTGATAGAGAGGAAGCTGATGGGCGATAGTTTGTGGGATGTCTGGGGTCTTTGTGGGGTTTGGGGATCATGATAACAGTGGCGGTTTTCCAGAGTTTGGGGAAGTCTCGTACAAAAGAAAGCCGATCAGTCAGCTGCTCCGATATTTATAAATAGCGTGACGTCACGACGAACCCTTCCGCTTTTTTCCGTGAGCTGGAAGTTCGCCGCCGTCACGCCGCGAGCAGCAACTAATAGATAGCGCTGTTTCGTTAGTAATTTATTCAGGTCGCCTGTGTTCCGTTGATCTCTGGATTCACCGACGCTGTGTAAGTTTGTTGGGGTTTCCGAGCTCTTCTCAAACTCAATTTTAATTATCTATGATTCGTTGGATTTATCTTCGCTAGGAATAGTAGAAATACTATTAAAATATCGGATACGTTCACCCAAAAAAGGTAAAAACTACATATTCATGGTAAATGCAATCCGCACCACACCTCAAGATTTTTTACTATAAATCATTAAATAAACCATAAACAAGCGTTCTAGGGCATTAAAAACTGAAATTTTGAAACGTTTCTGGCACCATAATCTACAGGATGAGATCTTGAACAGTATTACATTATTGGTGGACCGGCGCACCCATGAGCTCAAAGACATGCAGAATCTGCAACTAAATGTCTATGAGAGGGACAGAGAGATAGGCAGATAGAGAAAGAGCGACAAAGAGGGAGGGACCGAGAGAGAGGGAGAGACGAAGAGAGGGGGTGACAGAGAGGGAAGGAGAAAGAGGAAGATGAAGAGCAGATCAACATCTGCCGGGTTCCGCACATAAATACATTAATGTGAATAAACTGCTACTGATGTAAATTTTAACGACGTGAGAGATAAGTCAAAATAATACATTTTTGTAACTTTTGTAGAGACAAAAGAATAGAGCAATATGGCGTTTATGTCATCTCATAAAGTACATTTAGCACTATCCCTAACAAAAGTTAAAAGAAAAATTTTGGAGTGATTTTCGAGAAAATCTTTTTGTTATTTTTAAAATTGAGCATATTTTACGAAAAATTGCATGAAAACTACGAAACGTTTTAAAAAGTGTAAATGATATTATTGAAAGAATTAATTAAGAATTAATGGACCACAAATTTTATATGAACGAAAAATCTCTATCTTTAATTTTGTAGTTGCACGGAAAAATTCAAACTTTTCAATTTTTGAACATTCAGAGTTAACCGCAAAAATTGGGCCTATGCCACTTTTATAGGTGTATTTTACTACAATATATTCTTCCAAGAAATTAAAGATAGATTGGAGCCGTTTTTGAGAAACTTTTTAATTTTTTTGAGGCTTCATGTAAAATATTCCCAAATTCTGAAGAAAGTTTTTCAAAATCGCGGTGATTAGAGTGGAGCCAGATCATCTGGGGAATATCCATTTTGGAAAAAAATTTTCTTATGGTTTAGGTGCTAGTGCGTATCTCAGACGGATGGATATTTTGCCGTATATTGGTTTTTCGGTATCAAGGACCCACAGAAAAAGAGACCCACAATCAAGGATCCACAGAGATTTTTAGATCCACGAGGATTTTTACTTTCTCGCCTGACGAATTCTTCGTATAAAGAGAATGTTAAGTAATCGCGCATCAAGAAGCGCCTTAATTTCGCCAGAAAAAACTTTTTTGCCGAGTTCTGGTAACGATAAAGTGGATAAATCCTGTTGCTAAATTTTTTAAAAATCCTCTACAACACTAACACTTCAGCTTATTTTCTTCAAAATTGTTATTCCCTGATTGAACTGAATGGATTGGTTTCAAAAAGATTTTTTATTTTTGTAGATTTTTTTACACGAATCAGGCATTTACCTTTTGATGCCTTTGCCCAACTTCGATTCATGCATGGTGGCATTTTTGGCATGGTGGTATGAGTGACAGCACATAATTTCTGAGAAACTTAGCTTGAGTCTCGGAGCGGAAAAGTAATTTGCTATTATAAAACACTTTTGCTGGTTTATATAGTAATATAATGGTGCAGACCATTGGAAACAATACGAGAAAGTATGTGCTTTGGTTGCACTACAATTTTTTCTTAATTTACCACTTTTTCGTTAACAGGGCCCGGCAATTTTTTCTGCCGAAATCTGCGGGTTTTTTTCGCGCAGCATTAATTCATTTTCCCTACATTACGTTAATTACTCCGTTTTAAACTTGCCTGTGAAGGAATAACTGTGCGTGTGCCCCTCGAGATGGTTCTATAAAAGGTCGATAGTGAAGTACGACGTAGGGTATCATAGGGGAACAAATAGGGACGCAATTGCATGCCATACCCACAAGAACCAGTGGCAAGTCGAGCTGGCAAACTATAAAGTCCATGCAAATAGTGAAAGTGATGAGAGTAATGTACATAATGTAAATATGTTAGATTTAAGCGTATAGATAGAAATAGATGTAAGCTTAAGATACATTATGTGATCAAAACTATCCGGGCACGATGCTGATATATACTCTCTGGCTGAAAATGACTTACCAGTTCGTGGCGGCCTCCATCAGTAATGCTGGAATGTAATAGGGTGTTGGCCCACCCTTAGCCTTAATGACAGCTTCCACTCTCGCAGGCATACTTTCAATCAGATGCTGGAAGGTTTCTTGGGAAATAGCAGCCCATTCTTCATGGAGTGCTGCACTGAGGAGAGGTATCGATGTAGATCGGTGAGGCCTGGCACGAAGTCGGCGTTCCAAAACATCCCAAAGGTGTTCGATAGGATTCAAGTCAGGGCTCTGAGTAGACCAGTCCATTACAGGAATGTTATTGTCGTGTAACCACTCCGCCACCGGCTGTGCAGTATGAACAGGTGCTCGATCGTGTAGAAAGATGGAATCGCCATCCCCGAATTGCTCTTTAACAGTGGGAAGCAAGAAGGTGTTGAAAACATCAACATAGGCCTGTGCCGTGATAGTGCCACACAAAACAACTAGCGGTGCCCGCCCCCTCCATGAAAAAACACGACCACACCGTAACACCATTTTGGTCGTATCCGGATACTTTTGAGCATATAGAGTAAGTTATGTAGATTTGAAGCACTTCCATCCTAATACATGTGTAATAAATTACATAAATTCCAATGTATACGGGAAATGAAAAATATATGTATTTTTCGTACATCGTTTAAGAATTTTTGAAATGCTAGTTGAAGTGTAAGACAGAAATTGTCATATATTACATAGCCATTATCAATATCGCGAGAAAGTACGTGATGTTGTAGCACCACCAGTTTTAGATAGGCTCCCAATAACCTAGAGCAGAATAGTGTCCTCCAGTTTAGTGCTTTGAAAGGTTGCGTACTCTCTTCTTGTCGATCCATTGCATCTCTGCGTTAATTGTTGTTTCGTTTTGTAATATAGTTGTTCAACTGTTAGGAATTCAATCTACCTTCTATATGACAAGGTGACGTCAATTTTCTTACAAAATTCTTCAGTGAATTGTCGTCCACTATGAACACAATAAAGTAAATACCTCTTTTGTATTTAATTTATAATCATATTTCAAAGAAGCGCCACCGAGTTTCTTTTGTTATCAAGCCGATTCCTGTTCGCGGTTGGACGTATAAGTTGGCAAGAGTTTTCACAGCATGGGAGGATTCGACACGCGGGACAAGTACGTCTGTTGGCGAATGCTGAAGTGAAGTGTTCAAGCAGTGTCTCGAGAAGACCATATTTGACATTTGAACATTTTAACTGTCAATTAACAGGTCCAGTTCATAAAGGGCCGAAGTTTTCCCCGTATTTGTCCAGGAAAATGAGTAGTGCACAGTATGCATCTTTGAAGGAAAAGGTGGTGCTGATAACAGGTGTGATTAGCCTTTTTTTTTTTTTTGGTCAAAGGTTTAGATTTCCTGTTAATTTATTTGATGAAATTAATGCATGGTTTACTTTACGAGTAATGTATGTAACTATTATTGCATTTTAGGCGCTAGTTCTGGTATAGGAGCAGGTACTGCCAGAGTATTTGCCAAGAACGGAGCTCGGCTCGCTTTGTGTGGTCGGCAAGAAAATAATTTGAAGAAAGTTTCTGAAGAATGTACTGCTCTCGGCGCTCGCGAAGTAAAGAGCTTATTGGGCGATTTAACTGATTTGAATTGTTGCAAGAAAATCATTTGTGATGTCATTGAACATTACGGCCAGTTAGATGTGTTGGTGAGACTTGCTTTTTGTGCGTTTAAAAATATTTATTTAATTATCTGATCTGATATTAGTTTATGTTTAGGTGAACAGTGCAGGCCGGCTGTTGAATAATACAATTGAAAATGTGACACCTGAGCAATATGATGATATTATGAATGTTAACACACGATCTATAGTGTTTTTAACACAGTATGCAGTTCCACATTTGACTAAAACTAAGGGTACAATTGTTAATGTTTCATCTGTTGTGGGAATAAGATCGGTGAGTTCTTTGCTTGTGTATTAAGTGTACTCCATGTTGATGAATTGAATGAAGAGATTGCTATTTGGAAATATAATGTAATAGTAAAAATTTATTGATTCTCTAATTAATCTTTGAGATTAATTACTCCATTAATTTTTATCTGTCGATTCTTAAATGAATTGCTGACAAGAATTTAGAATTTTGACAAATAATTATTAACCTTAAAATTATTAAATGGTGCAATGTAGTTTCCAGGTATCTTGGCATACTGCATGAGTAAATCTGCAGTGGATCAATTTACAAAATGTGTTGCTCTGGAGCTAGCTTCCAAAGGGATTCGTGTGAATGCTGTTAATCCAGGAGTAATAAAAACAGAGGTTCACAAACGAGGTGGAATGTCTGAAGCCGAGTATAAGAAGGTATCAACTCTTTTGCCATCTTCCAATATAATTTGTTTTTAGACCTTTGGTAACATGTTCAACACAAAAAAAAAAAATCATGATCCATCAATTTGCATGTATTAAGGAGGCCAGAGGACAGTACAAATTGATAGTAATATTCCTTCAAAATGTAACCCAAACACCATGAGAAACATTTGAAAATTTTGAGCAATGAAATTCATGAAACAGAAACTGTAAGATGTAGTCAGTACCCGAGGAGTCAAAATAACATCTTGGCATTGCAGGTCAATTCAATTATTATCATGACAATTTTTAGGCACTTAAGTTTTTAACATACTGTAAATAAATATAAATGATGAAACCGCATAAAATCATAAACTCCTATCTAGCAAGCAGAAAGCAGCAAAGTTACAAGGACATAAAGAATGCTAGGAGTGGAAATGACTCCTGTGAGCTCTCTAGTGTTAACAAATACGAGAAGCACTGTATGCTGCTAGATCAGTTTTCCTGTCACTCTTAAGGGTTAGTTGCCTCCTAATTGAAACTATTGCTGTATTGGCTGATGGACAGCATTATCCATTGTTGCATCTTTTTAGTAATCAGTAGGGATTGGATTTGTATGATTTTGCATATTTTTATTCGTTGCTTCAGATAAAGGGCATAGCTAAGTGAAATTCCTTTACATTAGATAAGAGTTGGATTCTATTCTGATTAATTTCCATATATTTTCAAAACAGCAAAAATTAAGCCACTTTTTAAAAAGGTACTAAATATGAAATTCAAAATTGCCAACCAATTTCTCTTTTGTCAGTTTTCTCAAAATCAAAAATGTTAGAGAGGCTTTTCTGTATGCGAATGGAAACTTTTCTCAGGAAAAACGAACGGTTTTCAGACTCGCAAAGCGGTTTTAGAAAATCAAAATCTACAGAAACTGCCATTTTTTTCTTTTCTTAAATATCTTGCTTCATCAATGGACCAAAATGAAGCAACTATTGAAATATTTTTAGATCTTTCGAAAGCTTTCAACATTATTGACTATGACATCTTAATAGCAATCAAAATTTCCTTCTTATGGAATTCATGGTATCACACTATATTGGAAAACTACCTTAAACATCAATCTCAGAGTAGAAATACCATACTGGCACTAAAGGACATTATGTACTTATCTTTCCAATTCTTTACCAATTGATCTTAGGTCCTATCCTCTTTCTGTTACACGCAAATGATATGCCCTAGTCTGTTAAAAATGGAAGAACGATTCTGTTTCCCAATGACAAGATAGTTCTTTGCAAACAAGAAACAATAAATAGTACAATTTCAGAAGTTTCAAATTAGTTTTGTAATAACAAATTAATAGTTAACTAAGAAAAAACATGCATTTTTGCATTACAAATTAGCAATTGCATTCTCCATTGAAAATGAGCAATATGCGATTAACTGATGGTGAGGTAACAGAATTTCTAGGCCTTTCAATTTAGTCAAACCTCAACTGGAATGTACATATAACATAATGAAGTTCATTATGCTACACATTCAGAATTCTTTCAAATTCTGTCAGCCTTCATGCAGCTTGTTGCCTGTATTTTGCAAATGTGCATCACACCTATATATGGCATAATATTCTGGGGAAGTTCATGTAGTACCCAGACATAGATTGCATAAGAAAATTATTCGAATAATGAAAAAAATACATCCCTGATATCCTTGGAAGCCTCTCTTCATTGAACTTGGAACCTTACTATTGCCTTGCCTATTCAATCACGAATCTTTAATATTTGTCAAAACTGACTTAACGGTGGGAACATATTTTCATGCCACACTGACATCTACAATTACAACACACATCGAAAAAAATCATGTTCATCGTGTGTCAGTACCAACAGCTCACTACCAGAAATCCACATACAATACATGTATATTACTTTACAATGCATTGCCAGATGATATTAAATAATTGAAGTCTGTACATAAATTTAAGTTAAAAGTAAAGTTTTTCTGCTGTATAACTGTTTCTATACAATTAGATACTATACTGAATATCAAAATGAAAAATAATGTTTATTTCAACAAAACATGCTTGTTTAACATAATTGTACTCTGCTTCCGGGTGAATGGGGTCCTTCTCAATTAGGTTTTTGTCCAGTTTCCCTGAGCCATTGAGCAAATGCTGAGATGTCCTCTTGTTTTATTTCTGGATGTAAATGTGCTTCATTTTGTGCACATTTTGTTGACTCTCCTTTTGCTTGTAGTGGTAGAAGTAGAGGTAAGGGCAATTTAATATTTTGTTAGCAATGCAGAAAAATCAAATCCGCAGTTAGTTTACCTTTGCAAATAAGTTTTCTATAACTCAGGAACAAAACTTTCTATTTTTTTTCAAATATTGCTAATCTTGTGCTTGTTTAAAATTCATTTTTATGTATTTATTTTAAACTTTTACTTACTTCTTTCAACTATTTATAGTTAAAATGATGTAAAGGGATTTTGGAACTCAAGAAAAGGTGCGCAAATTTTCTTCTCCCCCACACGTCACATACAGTATTTACTGTTTTTTGACTGAATAAATCTAAATCTAAAGTATTGCACTTCACATATTCAGCACTATGTAATATTATATTACACTAGCCGAAGTAATCTGCGTTGCCTAGGTATTTATTAATCACAATCATTTACAAGAGGAAAAGAAATGAATTCCTGTAAGTGCAGTGAATATGTGCCCTTCTTTGCTTGACCCCCCACCCCTACTCGCCCTGCCCCTTGCCGGCCAGACCCGACTTTACCCGACCCGACCCCCTGCCTCTCCCTCTCCAGTCCACCATACCACCATCCTGATCCCTGCTTTCTCCTACCCTACCCTGCCTTCCCTTCAAACCTTCCACATCCTGTCCTGCTCTCACCTCCCACCTGCCCACTCCAACCTGCTCCTCCTGACCTTGTGTTGCGTCGTTGGCTTAGTCTTGCTCCAACTCACCTCACCTCACCTCACCTTGTACTGCGACCTCTTGCTTCAACCCGCCCTCCTGACCTTGAACTGTGTCATCTGCCCTGTTTGCTACAATTGTTGTTGCTATCACCAGAGCTACTGCAGGCAGCTGAAAACTGATGCCCCGCCAAAGATGTCAAAACCTAATGTGCCATAGAAGTGAACCAAAATGTGTTTATAGAAAATTTTTTTTGGCATTAAGACAGTTTGAATTCACTTGCGTCAATTTATTGATAGTTTTCGAAATATTTATGAAAAAGGGAAAGAGTGTATTGTTAAACTGTTCTTTAGAGGATAGCAATAATTTTTATAAAATTGTACGTAGACCATTACTTTTCTGATATTTTGAAGGTCACACACAAAATCTAATTATGATTAGAAAAAACTGTATTTTTTTTAGGTAGAACAAAGAGGCAACATACATGTTTATACAAGAGAAAATAATAATTTGAAAAAAGTTTTGGCCAGCAAACCACTCTTATCCTTCAGTGAAAACCATATCGAAATTGATTCAGCAGTTTGAGAGACAATCTCAAACAAACGGAAGCAAACAAAAATTGTAAACACTTGAATCGGTTTTTATTTCATCTCAGTAAGCCATTTATATACAGCAGAAATTTTGAAATCGGAGACAGACACTTAAGTTAATCTATCTAAATAAAACTAATTTTATTACAAATATATAAGATATGCATTCATATTTAATCAATAAATCAATGATGCCTTATTTTACTTGGTGAGTAAATGTGTCATTACATGAACCTGTGAATTTGGGTATAACAAATCTTAAACTACCAAAGTCGCAACATTCATATTATTTTTACACATATAGGTATTGTGGTGACTTTTTGTTGGGATTTCCAATGAAATAATTAAATGCATTGTCATTGCCAACAATATTAATGTATAATACTGTTGGCAATGATGATGCATATAATAATTATTTTTTCACACCACCAAAACATGTGCACCAAGTAAAAATCATATCACGTTACGTGGATTTCTTTCTTTATTTTCATGCATTCAATGTTATAGTTCTAATGAATTTTTATTATCACTGAAGAAGTCTTTACCATTAAAGTTTGTGATGAAGATACCTTAAAAAATAGTATGATATAATATTCTAATAATGACAACCTAAATTACAGTTGCTCATTCATAAAAGAATTTGGAAGAAGAGAGACCTGTTATAGATCACTGCCGTTTTAGTCCTTTGATAATATGGTGTTTTTAGTTTTATACCTTCATTGGAAAGACAGTTTATTTTCCATTGAAATGTATTCTGATTGTTTCAAATTGGGGGTGAAAAAGAAGGGGGGAAAAATAAAAAAAATTATTTCATTTCATTTTTCTTCAGATTTTTCAGTATATTTTACATTTTATAGAACTAAAGAATATATTAAAAGATGCAGCCCTGAGAGCTGCAAGCACCTCGTGGTTAGGCGGAAGTTAGGCATAATGGCCTGAGCCTCGTCATTAATAAAAACAATTTTTATAATTATTATTATTATCATTATTATTAATGCCTAAAGGAGGGTTAAAAATCAGTATTGCTTGTGATTTATTTCAGTTTCTAGAACGTGGCAAGGAGACTCATGCATTAGGCCGTGTGGGTGAGCCAGAAGAAGTTGGCAATGCCATTGCATTTTTAGCATCCAGCGAATCATCTTTTATCACAGGAGAAACTTTGCCTGTGGATGGGGGCCGCCATGTTATGTGTCCTCGATGAGAAGAGTTAATGATATTTTGCTCTTCTTCTGTAATAGAAGTACATCCAAGTATTTTGTAATTTTGTCAACTCTGTTGTCAAACTGAGAGTATTGTAACTGTAATAAATGTAAGTTTTTTTTGAGGAGACAAAGTGTAAAGTCAGTTCCCAAATCTATTAAAAATTATTTTCTGCTAAGTTCTTGAGTTTCACATTAAGTCAATCAGCTATTTTTATGAAAATGTTCCATTGTGTAATACAAATAACATATAAAATACGAAATTACTAAGCTGTTAAGTCACTACAACAGCCCAGGTTTCGAAGATTTCTTCCTTAGCAATATTAACTTCCGCATTCCTAGTCACAATACAAATTAAACAAAGAAAATATGTTGGGCAGTCCATATACCTTTTTCCTATCAAACAAAGTTGTTGATCACTGAAATCGCCTACCTGCCACTGTTGTCAATGCTCTTAGCACTCGCACATTTAAAGAATGTTGGGTTCAGTTTTATACCGTTCTGTCTTGATTATCATCTTTTTTACCCCTCTTCTTTCTCATGCGAATCTTTGTTTTATTGTGAACATTATCAGAATTGAACACTGTTTGTGTATTTAGTAAATAAATATTTTGGAAGTTATTGTTCAAATAAACAGAAAATCTTAGTTTAGTAATTTAAAAAAAATAAATTTTATAGCAAATAGGACCATATAACAGGACTCAAATCTGATATTTAATGAATGAGTCCAGAAGATGTATTTGTATGAACAAGACGAACGAACATTGAATTTCAGTGTATATTAAGGCATAACGACGCAGGCCAGGCGGCCGTGCGGCCAGCCCCTGACGGAGCAGGGGGACTTGCGGGATAGCAAGCCAGAACAGTGCCGGTTTTGGCTTCGTCTCTTTGCATCTCAGTCTATTTTTCCAACAGATACCAAATTTAGGATGCTTATACTGACTGAGGTAAACGGTCTGTAATCAGTTTGTACATACTAATTTTTTTTTTTCCCATATTCCGCTCTTCCCTTCGAATACGACTTAAAAAAAATTAGCTTGAGGCAATACTCAAAGATATCGATTCCGATTTGGAGCAAGTTTTTAAAAAATGAAGCTAATCATGTAAACATAAGCCATTTTCCATCTCCTCAGGATCTTATTTGAGAAATATATTTTACTTCTAAGGTTTTTCATGTTAAAATTCCACTTGGCTCTAAGATAGTTCGGGGTTCAAATACGGAAAGAATGAGCGGAGTATTACGCACAAGCTCTTTTATCTCCTTCCTACAACTCGATTTTTGATCTCAAAACGACGTTTACCCTGCTTTAAATAATTCATCTTGTGAATCTCTTAAAATTATATAAAATACAATAATACATTGTATTTTTTTCAAAATATATCCCACGTCCGAAAAATAATCGACTGGTCCGCCGTCCTATGGTGACACTTCTCTAACTCCGTAAGCGGAAGGCAATAACACAGACCCTCCTATGTGCATCGGAGGCGACGCAAGATCCTGCGCAGATTACGCTGGCGTCTTCCCCTCGGCAACGCTTCAAGGGAGCGGCGAAAGCGATGAGGGGAGACTTTTTCCATGACAGCGAGATACCAAATTACTGGTAACATTGGGGAAGTTTTATCTCGTAAAACTAAAGTAAATTATAAAATTTTGACGGAAATATGTGAAAAATACAATATATGTTTATTTACAAACTATTAAGGACCGTTACCGGCTCAGTTATAAGCATCTCTACTTTGGTATGTGTGGAAAAAATAGTCTGAGATTGCAGAAGAGAGGAGAAGCGCCGAAACCAGACTGTGTGTCTAGCATGCGTATCGCAAGTCCCGCCTGCTTCCGCCGGGGCTGGCCGCAACGCGTTGGCCGGCCTGGCCTGGCCGTGCCCCGCGCTGACAGAGGGTCCACAACAATCGGTGGGTGCCGACTGGGCAGAAAGGGAAAGAGGGTGGCGAGGTGCTTTCCTAAATTTCATTTACGCCGCTCTTTTGTTCCCGATTTTGCACGAGTGTCCAGCGTTGGGATTTAAGAAATATGTCCGCCATTCGCGCTATAAGCCCACTTTTTTAAATTTTGTCTCGGAAGTTCGAGAACTAATTTCAAATTCGAATTTTTGGAAAAGGGGCTTCGTCGTAGCGTAATTCTATTTCACAAAAGGCGAGATAAATGCAGTTTAACAGATAGACATCGGACATTGGGTTTCAAACATTATCGGTAAAGTAAATTTTTACCTTATTTTTACTTATTTTGGTGCTGCCACACGTGGTGGCCAATTGGTTAAACTAGTGTCTGGGTCATTTGCCTTAATATATAAATATACATCTGAAATTCATATGTTCGTTCGTCTTGTTCATACAAATACATCTTCTGGTGATCATTCATATAGAATATCAGATTTGTGGCATTGCCTAGATTATCATGGTGTCCTATTTGCCTATAAAATTTATTCCTTTATTTAGAATTACTAAAACTAAGATTTTCTGTTTATTTGAACAATAACTTCCCAAAATATTTATTTACTAATACAGCACAAGCAGTGTTCAATATCTGAAATAGTTGCACAAATACAAAGATTCGCCTAGCTCTAGAGAAAGAGAGAGGGGTAAAAAGATGATAATCAAGGACAGAACGGCTATAAAACTGAACACAACATTCTTTAAATATGGCGAGTTGCTTAACCGAGCCATTGGACAAAACGAGTTGGCAGGTAGCGATATTTTCCAGTGATCAAACAACTTGTTTATAGGAAAAAAGGTGTATTATGGACTGCCCAACAATTTTCTTTGTTTAATATTTGTATTGCAGAGACTAGGAGCAGATTGCGGAAGGTATAATTATTGCTAAAGGAAGAAATCTTCGAAACCTGGGGCTGTGTACGTTCACCATATATCAGCTTAGTAATTTCTGTATTTTATGACTGGTTATGTATTATCACAACATGGAAATTTTCAATTAACAAAAAATGAGCTGATTGACTTAATGTGAAACTCTAGAACTTAGCAACGAAAAATTTTTATTATAGATATGGAACTGCTTTACACTTTGTCCTCCTCAAAAAAATGCTTACATTTAGTTACAGTTACATTACTTCTCAGTTACTGAAAACAGAGTTGACAAAATTACAAAATAGCTTGAGTATACTAAATCGATACAGAAGGAAAGAGGCAAACCCATATGCATTAACGCCTTCCCACTCCATCGGGACACATAACATGGCGGCCCCATCCACAGTACAAAGGTTCTCTTGTGATAAAAGATGATTCGCGTGGATGCTAAAAAATGCCACATGGTCATTTGCCAACTTCTTCTGCTCACCCACACGGCCCTAACTGCATGAGTCTCCTTGCCACGTTCTAGAAAACTGAAATAATCACAGCAAGAATCTGGACTTTTTAACCCTCCTTTAGGCATTAATAATCTAAATGTATATAATAATAAATTATAAAAATTGTTTTTTTAATGACGAGGCTCAGGCCATTATGCCTAACTTCCGCTCTAAACCAGCGAGGTTGCTTGCAGCTCTCAGGCTGCCCGTTTAATATATTCTTAGTTCTATAAAAGTTAAAAGTATACTTGAAAATCTGAAGGAAAATGAAATGAAATAAGATTTTTTTATTTTTCCCCACCTTCTTTTTCTACCCCGCAATTTGTAGAACAAATCAGAACTACAGTTTCAATGAGAAATAAAACTGTCTTCCAATGAAGGTATAAAACTAAAAACACCATTTATCACAAAGGACAAAAACGGTAGTGATCTATAACAGGTCTTCTTCTTTCCAAATTCTTTTATGAATGAGGCAACTGTAGTTTAGGTTGTCATTATTAGAATATTATATGCAATACTATTTTCTAAGAGTATCTACATGCACAAACTTTAAAGGTAAGACTTCTTCAGTGAATAATAAAATTCATTAGAAAAACTAGTAAACAATTGATATGGCATGAAAATAAAAAAGAAATCCACGTAACCGTTGATATATTTTTACTTGTGCCACATAAGTTTTGTGTTGTTGAAAAAATAATTTATATGCATGCATCATTGGCCAACAGTATTAGACATTAATATTGTTGCAATTGGACAATGCATTTTAATTATTTCATTGGATAATCCCACCACAAAAAAGGTCACCACAATACCCTATATGTGTAAATATAATCATGAATGTTGCGCCTGTTGGTAGTTTAAGTTGTTAGTAATCCCAATTCACAGGTCATGGTAATGACACATTTACTGTCACCCAAGTAAAATAAGGCATATTGATTTATCTGATTAATATGAATGCATATCTTTATTATATTTGTAATAAAAATAGTTTATTTAGATAGATTATACTGCTTAAGTGTCTGTCTTTCCGTTTTCAAAATTTCTGCTGTAATATAAATGGCTTACTGAGATGACTATAAAAAAAACCGATTCAGTTTTACAATTTTTGTTTAGCTTCGCGTTTGTTTGAGGATCTGCTCTCAAACTGCTGAATCAATTTCGATAATGGTTTTACTGAAAGGATAAGGTGGTTTGTGGCCAAAACTTTTATGTTCAAATTATTATTTATACCTCTTGGTTTAAAACAATGGTATGTTGCCTCGTTTGTGTTCTAACCTAAAAAAAAATACAGCTATTTTGTCTAATATCCATAATTAGATTTTGTGTGTGACCTTCAAACAATAATCAGAAAAGTAATGGTCTAACGAGACAATATCTATAATTTAAAATTATTGCTTATCTCTAAAGAACAGTTTAAACAATACAAACTCTTTTCCCCTTTTTTTCATAAATATTTCGAAAAACTATCAATAAATTGACGCAAGTGGAATTCAAATGGTTCTCTTTATCGGGGCCAAAAAAATTTTTCTATAAACCAGCATTTTTGGTTCACTTCTATGCCACATTAGCGTTTTGACATCTTTGGGCTGGGCATTCAGTTTTCAGCTGCCTTGCAGTAGCTCCTGGTGATAGGCAAGCAACAATTTGTACAAACAGGGCAGGACAACACGTTCAAGGTCAGGAGGGCGGGTTGAAGCAGAGGCGGCAGACAGGTGAAGGTGAGGTGAGTGTGAGGTGAGTTGGAGCAAAGACTAAAGCCCAACTGACGCAACACAAGGGTCAGGAGGAGCAGGTTTGTGATGGGCAAGGTGGGAGGTGAGAGCAGTGACAGGATGTGGAAGGGTTATGAGGGGAAGCAGGGTAGGGTAGGGTAGGGTAGAGAAAGCAGGGATCAGGATGATGGTATGTGCTGGACAGAGAGAGGCAGGGGTCATCGGGTGGCTCGGTAGCTCCTGTGGGGGGTCATTCTTTGGCTCCACGGGCTAGGGCGGGGCGAGTTAAAGAGTGGTGGGGGGTCAAGCAAAGAAGAGCAACGGTATTTCACTGCCACTTCAACAGGAATTATCATTGTTCTTTTCGCTCTTATAAAATGATTGTTGATTATAAATACCGTGTATGGCAACGCTAGACATTACTTCGGCTAGCGTATTATAATATTACTAGTAGTGAATATGTGAAGTGCAAAATACTTAAGATTTAGATTTATTTTCTATCTAGTCAAAACCACAACAGTCAAATAAGTGAGTGTACGTGTTGGGAAGGAAAGAAATTTGCCACCTTTCCTTGAGTTCCAAAATAACCTTTACATCATTTAA